CACTGAAAGGGGCAACTTTCGCACGCACCTATGCCATGCGCCCCTGATCACCGGGGAGCGTGCAACAGAATCGTCTGGGACTGGCGACGATCGCGCGCGGCCACTTGCGCGGCGCCGTGACGCGGCACTTTTTCGATGGGCGCGGCAACAGTAGACTTTGTCGATTGGAGCGACAGATTTGCTGCCGTCCACATTAAGCCTTTTGGCGCTGGCCCGTCAACTTTAACGTTTTATTTTCTTCTTATTTTTAGGCCCGCTTCATTGCTGACGGCTCGTGCGGTCTTAAAGGGATCAAGATCAATAGTTTAATTGAAATTTCAGGTACGCGAGGGCGGAGGAGACGGCGCCCGTGGTGTGAATAAATTCCGAGTTGGTCAGCATACTCCTGTAATACAAGTTTCGTTATGGAATCATTCAAAAACCAAGACAGCGACTCAGCCGCATTAACTGATTAACTACATTCCCCTACCGGGTTCAGATGGCTTCCGCCGGCCATGTTATGAGCCTAAAATGTTGAAGGGAGGAGTAGGGGTAGCCCCGTGTGAGAAATCGAATGACGCTCAACTCGTCCACTACATGACGTCGCGGCCGCGACCACAAGCGTGGGGCTCCGGACGATTCTGTTGCTACACACCCGCCGCTTCCAAACCACAACGAATTGTTACACAAGTTTGGAATGCGTGTCGCATCCCAAGATGGGATTGATAAACGGCAAAAGTTTTATCGATTATCCTATCCCTTATCCTTTATATTCATTGGAAGAAATTTTCAAATATTCCGGCTCAAAATGACTCCTATTATTGTTGATTAGTAGGTTTGAAGCCTACCAGGGATGCGCGAACGTGTGAAGGTGATGATTCGCTCTAGAGGGTGCTTGTGGTGGAACCGAGAGTAGAAATAGTTGACCCAGGAATAGATGCGTCTGAGAGAGATCGCTTCTTCAGGATTTTCACAGACCTTTTCATAAATTTGTGAGGGATTTCGTGAAGAACTAGGAGCTTTTCCTTGTTGGCGGTTTTTAGTAGCGTAAAAAGCCACTTTTGAGGGCGGAGTTTTTCTATGGGAAAAGTCTAGGATATCTAGTGTGGTCCAACACGGTAAAGACTTTGTGAAAAGAAACAGTTAAATTTTCGTTTTTTTTTTTGAAGTCATCAGGCCTCTGTAGTGACCCTAAAGTTGATTAAAAAATGCTATTTAGTATATCATTTCCCAGATTTTTTCCCTCAACCTTCCCCTTGCCACTCCGGCCCCGCTTCAAATTGCGGAGTCACCAAGTCGAAGTACTATATGTAACCAGGTCGACGAGCGATCTTTTCCCTGATCTAGGTGCGGGACGAACAGTTGGGCACATTCTGTCCACGGTACCCGACAGGAGGAGCCCGTCGCGCGCAAGAAGGCCGAGTCAGCGGACGAGCGGACGAGTCGCGCGCGTACTGTAGGGATTTCGCGTCAAGTTAAATAGAATGTCCATTGCACGTCCTACATCGCACATCACGCGCTGCGACTCGTCCGCTGACTCTGCCTTCTTGCCGCGCGACGGGCCTCCTGTCGGGGTACCCCCTGCCACACTGGACGAGGGTAACGTGGGTCCTTGAAGCGGCCGACGTGATGTGCACATTGTAGTCAAAGGGTTGAACATGCCACTAACCAATGCTGCAAATGGTACAGATCACTTTCACATGGATCAATTAGGTACTGATCAGTGCCATAAAGTGATCAGAATTCATCTTAAGTCCTCTAAAACAAGATTGTATGTATGGGACGGTAACACCTAAAAATGTGTGTGGCCGTATAGTGACCTCTCCCGGCTAATATTTCCCCTGCTATTTTTTCCTTTTTTCATTACTCAATAGAAGCAGAACACCAGTAGTGGAATTAGCGAAAACAAGTTGGGAAACAGAACAGATCAGTTCCAACCAGTGGAATCAGCAGGAAAGAAGTTGATACAGCAGGATGGACCCAATTCCGACCACGCCGTGTAGAACTTTCCTTTATTTTTTTGAAACTTTTCATAAGTACATACACTTCATTACCAACTTTATCTGTGCAATTCAATTTAAAATATCACATATACACCTTTATATAATAATAAATACAATTTATACTATGTATACAGTGCTCATTTTATACCTGCGGTAAATAAATATACTAATCGAGCAACAACGCTGTCGCGTATGCAGTGGTTCAATGAACAAATAAGAACTCTAGGATGTACAACACTTATTCCCGTCGCCCCTGTGCAAATTAGCGGGTAGTCTCGCGCCTGCAAAGTTCGTGTCAGTCGTACTGAAAGGAGGGTGAGATTTGGCCCAGGCATGCGGCGCGCGACTAATCTGCGCAAAACAAAACCCATGGACCGTATGCTTCCTTCTCCGAGGGGAAAAGAGAAGGAAAATCCTCAAAATTTTTCCTTGCCTTCCCAAAACTGCCCTAAGAGACTTGTCCCAAGCAAATGTCATTATTAAAGCATTGTGCGAACGGAATCCTAAACACTTTAAGGTGAAGGAACTATTCCCACTACAAAGGAAAGGCTAGCATAAGCGCATATGTCATGAAGGTGGTCACTCTACTAGTGCTAGGAAACCGCTACACAACTATGCGCTCATTTGTCACATTCTAGACCTGCAATTCGGTCTACTGGACGACTGGGATCGAGATCGCTGAGTCTCTTTCTCACGTCACAAAAGAGATCAACTGGAAAATGTCGACGGATTCGCTGTACATCACCCTCTTTTTAAAGGTATCGCTTCAATTTCGAAAAGAATGTCAACCATAGAACTGCTCCTACGGTAACCACGATGCCGTTCAGCAGCCACAGCATCGACTGTCCCGCATAACTGAAGAGCGACCTGAAATCAAGAACTCATCTATGGAGAACCTTTCCTCAAAGTAACGCTAGACACTCACGCTGCATAGATCGGCCCCAGAATATAGACTATGTCCTCAACGACGATCATCGCTCCTTGCATCATGCTCTAAAATTGTGGAACTCGATAGTGAGAAGAGACGCGAAATGGAGCCTAAGCACATAGCAGTTCGGCTGCGCACGCATTGGCGTGCACCACACTGTGGGACTGTGGCGGTATAAATACGGGCCATCAATATGTATTACTGTAATGT